CAAAAGCTGAAAACTTGAGCTTCATCAGCTTCAGGGGGACTTTATAATAAGACACCTTGTCGGAGGCCACCTGCTGTCAGGAGTGGAAATCCTGTACAAATTTGATGGGGAGTTATCCAACCGAAACAAATTACTAGCCAAGACGAAAGTATCAACGACATCAATAATTGGACTTCAATATGCGGATGATAACGTCGTGATAGCCAATACAGAGGAAGATCTTCAGGCAATTATCAATGCATTCAGCCAGGCATTCAGGAGAATCGGCCTAAAGGTCAACTTTAATAGGACACAGATTCTACACCAACTCGCACCGGATACCAATCCCCAAGCCCCAAGTAGTGCAGAAGGTAGATTACTACTCATATTTTGAGAGCAATCTGTCAGCGAATGTAACCAATGACGCAGAAATCCAACATCGCTTGGAGTGTGCTAGCGCGGCGTTAGGGCGACTTCTAGAGAGAGTCTTCAACAATAAGGCCATCAGCGCTGAGGCCAAACGTCGTCTCTATAATGGAGTTGTAATACCAACACTTACATAGAGCTGCGAAACATGGACCAGCTACAGAAGACACTCGGAGCCTAGAAAAATTCTTCTAGCGCTGCCTAAGAAGGATCCTATGGAGTAAATGCCAGGACCGATGAACGAACATCAGTGTTTTAGAGGAGGCCAAAACAACTAGCACGAAATCCCTCATCATCAAGCACCAACTTCACTGGACAAGTCACCTCGTCCGCGTACCCGAAACACGTCTCCCACGACATATTCTTACAGTCAACTGAATAAAGAGGGAAATCGAAATCAGGCAGATCAACAAAGGCACTACAGAGATGTTCTTAGGAACACTGGAAGACGACGACAAATAATAGTCCATCATGGCAACCACAAACTTTTGAAGAACAGCGACGCAGATATGAGACCGATAAGAGGGACCACAGGAAGGAGCGAGAGAACAGAGGAAGAGACAATGCTGCCAGAGGCTGGGTGTGCCAAGACTCTGGAAGAGTGCGCGGCTCCAGAATTAGTTTATTTACCCATTAAAAAACGCACAATCGACGTCAATAAGTATATTGTATATATAGAAGATAATCACACTCGGTATCGAGTGATCGCCTATGATGATTATGATAAGGAATGGATTTGGACGACAGACCACAAAACCCACCGTCTCTGGTCAACAACGCATCAGTTGACGGAAACTTTTCACTTCATAAGTGAACTTCGGAAACCTTCCAAGAGATTGGCATCGCGCCACGTTCATAACCTTACCAAATACAAAGCGTAGAAAAAGGATAAGATTATCATCTATCAGCATGATGATGCACTTTTGGAATTCTTTCCTATGAATCTTGCACGGAAGACTATACCTACCCATTGGAAATATTTAGGAGTTAGTGAATTCAGGCAGTTGGGTTTCAAAACAAGGCTTGCAAATTGGTTTTAGGTTTCAGTTTGTCTTGATTAGTGCGAAATTGCCTCGATCAGCATAACATTTTTATAATGTTTTGACGACTATAAGAACGTTTTTGATAATGTTACACTATAGTACCTGACGTCGTCAAATCCTATCTATATAACTTGTATACCGGAACTATATGAGATACGGTTAATAAATAAAAGTGTGAGGCAGGTGTGTATTTTGTCCCCGATATTGTTTAAAACCTGAATGTTGAAAGAGATTTCCTCAGGGCTGTCTCCTAGAGTTCCAGTAGCATCATAGTTTATTGTATTCCTATAAATAATAAATTATACAGGGTGTCCCCGTTCAAGTGGTCAAAAATGCTAGGGTATATAGAGGAATCATAGAGAAGTAGTTTGAGATAGGACACCGATGGTCGGAAGTGGGTAGTTTCCAAAATACCTACAGGGTGTTGAAATTTAAGCAACCCCCTAGAGGGCTAATGCTAGGCTGTTCAAATTTTCGGGGATTATTTATGTAGGAATGATATCCTGGAACTACCCAAAAAAAAAATTAAATTTGAGACAAATTGTTTTTTTTTTCTTCAAATTTTACTTTTTATTTTTTTTTTTGGGATGGTTCCAGGTAGAAAATGGAGGTGCATTATATACGAATTTTTAAATATCATTCCTACATCAATAATCTCTGAAGATTTGAGCAGCCTAGCATTAGCCCTTCAGATGATATGAAAGGAGGTTGTTTAAATTTCAACACCCTGTATTTTAGAAATGACTTAATTCCGACCATCGGTGTCCTATCTCGAACTACTTCTCTATGGTTCTTCTATATACCCTAGCATTTTTGACCAGTTGAACAGGGACACCCTGAATATTACGCATACGACATTGTAATCATAGTTCGCAGAGTGTTGGTGACGTTGGATGAGATAAGCCGACTACACCTTTTCCACATAAAATTGCGAATATAGCAAATTATATTGCGAATTTATCAATTGATTTTGCGAATAGTCAAGTGATATTGCGACTATATTGAATGTAATTGAGAAAAGTTGAATGTAATTGCGAATATATCAAATGTAATTGGGAAAAGTTAAGTGTAATTGGGAATATATCAGACGCAATTGGGCATAATCAAATGAAATTTGGAATATTTCAAATGTAATTGCGAATTAATCAAATATTATATCAAGACTTTATCAGATATTTTCTCTGTCGACTCTTTCTCGTCATTGTCGATCTGCATACATCACAATTATCACAAAAATTCCATTTTTGTGTCTCCTTTCTTTTGACACAAAACTACCTTTATGTATATGTGAACATAAGCTTTCCTCAACAAAAGACTTAGTTATTTTAGCAACAATATACAGATGTCGATTGAAAAATTGAAAGGCTCAATTACATTTGATTTATTATTAATTTTATTTGATTATCCCCAATTACATATGATATATTCGCAATTACACTTAACTATTCTCAATTACATTTGATGTGTTCGCAATTACATTTAACTTTTCCTAATTACATTTAATATATTCGCAATATCAACTGACTATTCTCAATTAGAAGTGATTAATTCGCAATATTATTTTACCATTCCTAATATTAAGTGATATATTCGCAATTACACATGGAAAAGGTGTAGTCCTGAAAATTTACAGCCATGAAACAACAATTATGGTCGTCTCTAAATATCTGGTCTGTGTATTGTTTGACAAGTAGGACTCAGAAATTGAAGTCAGAAGCAGGATACAGCAAGCTAGAACAATTTCCTAAAGTTCAAAAAATTCTGACCAACCAATATGGGTACTAAACTAAATTGAAGCTTAGATTCGTAGTAATCATAATTAAGTAGTTTGTCTGGTCCATTCGCCTGTAAAATGTGTAAAGATGGACGCGTGAAGCAATAGTAACAATGAAATTGAAGCATCTAAAGTCTGGGTGAAGACGACAAATGATTAAGATTTTCTTACATGGATGAGAAAAGAGGATGTAGGTACTTACAGTTTCTGAAAGATCTGGACCCGGATCACGAACCCTCGACTCGATAGTATCGTCCATATGAATTACATGGACGATACTATCGATTTGTGGGTTCGCGATCCGGGGGCTGATAGATCTAATCTACAGGGTAATCAAATTTTCATTGACAACACAGTATTTGGAAGAAATGATAAATGAATTACCTATCATTTTCGCAGGATATATTCATGCAAGTGAAAATTCCTAAAGATTCTTTAAGATATCCTCATAAAAGAATTCCAAGACAAAATATTACCATCATCTCTAAAATCTTGACCTTCAATGGCCTTGCTACAGATAAAAGTTGCGATCTCCTAATAACCAGCTTTGCTTGCATAAATGCTTTTCACGATCAATTATCTATCATAATAAGATCAAGTTCATAATAATGACTTGCTTTAATATCCTTGACATTTTTATTGTAAATATTCAAGTTTTTGCAGTAGGATTTGCAAATATAAGACTACAAACTAAAAAACTAGACCAATAGAAAAAAAAATACAAATTTTAATAATTTTGGAATAAGCAATACTGCAACAAATCGAACAACCAGAACCTCATGGCATAATAATCTCATAACCAATCTTTTTTTTCTATTTTAAAGTAGAAAACCTACAAACTTAATTTTTCATCAAATAAAATATTTGGTTTGCAGTCAGCCAAATCAAACCACAATCCCTTAATAAGTCTCGTAATAGCCAAAGCCAAATTGTCGAGAATGCAATGCAGTTGGTCATGACGACGTAGGTAGGCAAATACCTTGCAAATACCTATTTGAACAATAAGCTTCCATTAATGTAGAGATTTTTTACTGATAACATTCCTAAGAAGTAGAACAATGTGTTACAACTTTAAAAGCAACGAGACCCTTTCAAAGCCAATGGCAATAATATATTGAAGAAAAAATAAAGAAAGCAAACCGGTAATGATAATTACGATTAGGGTAGAAGAAAAAATATAATATGCATGGGAGTCGTAAATTAACAACAAACATAATAATAATTATGAGCGCCAAATTAGGTCACAGCGTTCTGGAAGTAGCCAAAGTAGTTTTCATTTCTTTCTTCATAGCTAACAATGAAGAATAAAAAAATACATAAAGTCAAGTTTACGTAAGCAACGTAATACTGTTACAATTTCCTACACTTTACTGCTTAATAGGCTAGTACAAGATCCAATGTCATACATTATGAGTAATATGAACGTATTATGAACACATTTTTTTTATTTATTATTAGTTTCAACAGGCTAGGGTACGGAATCAGAATTTGAGGCGCGGCGTGTGAAATATATATGAGAATTTTAATTATTTTTATATATTTTTTATTTATGATATGAGCTGATTAAAGCAGGGACAAAGAGAATGACGAAGCGAAACAATATACAGGACGGGAGAGTATTAAATTTTGTAACTTGTTTATATATATGTTCCTGCGTGAAAAGTGCAGGAACATATAATTAAGTAGGTATGCAAAGAAAGTGTCCTATTAAAGATCAATATAGGTAGTGTGTTTTTATTTAAAATTTCTCTGGATTCTCTCTAATAGTCCGATAAATGAAACAATATCTATAGTTTTTTAATTAATATATTATTGAATAGCTAATTGAATCTATCAATATTCATCAGACCTATCCTTATACAACGCCGAAATTTCCCAGAAGTAATCCAATCAAAGCAGCTCCTGGCGTAGCTATGACTGTGAAACCTGCTACAATTGCATCACTTGCTACTACAGCTGAACTGGTAGCACTGCTGGACCAGCTAGTGTGTAGCTGGTAACAATTTTACCTGCTGGACCTCCACCTACAACAATATCTGGCGAGGAAGGAAGATGTGCTGGACCTGAACATCAGAACAGAATTAAAATTTCAAAATGCTGCTTTTACGAAAATTATTATACCTGCAGCTAGCAATCCAGGATGACTACCATCAGTTACTAAAGTACCTCCTGGAGCAGCCGATTCTAAAGCACTTCCATCTGGCCCATAAAGTGAGGTCCTACTTCCCGGTCCTTGCAGCACTTTAACAGTTGGAATAACTGCGGCATTGGTGATGGTGAAAAGAACAAGAAAAATAGGAAGGATCTGGAAAAATACAAATTAACTTTTCATTTTTAACTTATGGACTAGAGACTAGACACATATTGTTCTCTGGTAAAGGTTTTAGCTGAACCTGTTAAATTCTTTGAAATCCAGAACAACTGATTACCAAACATAGAATGCGCCCCACGTACCTTGTCGGACGCCATTTTGCCGGTTAACGCCAACGAACTACCATATACCTTATTAGACCGCTTATTAATATATGGCTTGAAAACCTTGTGCGCCAAGCCCTATATGCAGGCAATCTACCATGAACAAGTAGGTATTATAAATGGCATTAGATAAAAAAAAAATTCTAATACAGCTATGTCTTGCGAACATATAAGTGTTATGTAAATCTGACATGAAAAAATAATTTGGTACAAGTTACATCTGATACCTACCATTAAGATTATCAAGATATGCGTGCGGAATTGTAAACTTACTTGCATTTCGATGACTCTTCAGAGCTTTCACAATATGTGTATTCCTAACTTGAAATAATGTGAAATTTTAACTCTGGATTAAGATCCAAAGTATGTATTTTTCATGTTGGCTGTTAAAGTAACTTGCAATACTACGGAAACTACTTGGACTCAAATGCCTTAAGAACCTGCAATATAAGGATGATTGTTGATTTTTCTAAACAATATTTCAATAAATTTTCCTTGTAAATTTCGGAGGTTTTACAACATTTCAATTCCAGATAAACTTACATTAAATATTTATAAAAAATGGAAATACCTACATAGATAAAAAAACATTAGATTCATATTTTATTGATGCAGGATTGAATAGAGGCCATTTGTATAAATCATACGTTCTCGTTCAAAAGGCTAGAAAATAATAGACTATAGTCACAAAAGGTCCTGATAATGTCCCATCGTTCTATCGTCTCCTTTAAGCAAATATACATAAATGGTCCATCCATTACCATTGTTGGCATGGTCCAACAAAAGGAATGTGCGATTTCAATGTGATCAAGTGTAAAATCTGAACAAGAAACCGATAGCCAAGAAACAAGGACGTCAAGTAGCGCGACATTGTCCCCTAGAGGGGCGGTGGCAGTCGGCACAGAGTCCGGGATCTCCGGATAAATAATTTTTTATTTTATTGTACGCGGTTAGGGACAGAGCACATGGATATAGAATTACATATTTCCTTTATCCAAAAGTCTATCTAGCACTTACCATGTGCAGTAATACACAATATTGGCGAAAAATCTTAGCACCTGAGTAAAATGTTATCAAAGAAAACGAAACACACTATACTGCATGTAGGGACTCTCTAAGATAACTTCATTGGAGGCTTCTTGGCAAGTCAACTTTGAACGACTTGAATTTTCAACGCAGGTGCTTGATTGCTGCTTGGAAGACTAAGTTTCTCCTTTTCCATTGTATCCACTATGAAAAAGTGAAACAGACCTGATAATGACAGTGACGAAATTTCGGAAAGTGGTCCCATAGTGGCACGTTGTTTCACTACTAATATAGGCATGAAAGATTAGACTCTATCATAATTTGGAAATTAAAGCTTGATTCTAGAATGTCCTATAGCTGAAACAGCTTTCTTTCAATATAACTAACTTTACTCTCCACCAGATTCTTTCATTCATCCATGCAAACTGACCGAGCCCCTTATCGTAGTTTAATTATTGCTCTTGAAACTAAATATCGCGCGAAAAACTTTCACTTTACGTATTAATGTTAGTTGTGGGTTTCAAGTTCACGGGCGTCGCTAAATTGGTATCCCATTATTACGACACAGTAGCAAAAAACTTCAATAGTTCAATAATTATGAATGTCATTTTATGATTTCTTACAGCTTATCTTTGTTTCAGCCTTGTCCAGACTCGCCGCCAGAATTTCGTGAGGAACAATGTGCAGCATTCAACCACATCTCATATGAAGGTAGCTTCTACCAGTGGTTTCCCTTTTTTGATGACGACGAACCCTGCGCTCTAACTTGCAAAGGCAAACCAGAAGATGCGCACGAAGATGCTCTTTTGGTAGTGGACAAACTTAAGGATAAAGTACATGATGGCACCAGGTGTCGACCCGGCAGTTTGGATATGTGTATTGATGGAAGGTGTCAGGTAAGAATTTTTGCCGAACCTTGGAAATTTAATATTCAACATTTTGAACAAAACTTTAAGTTGTAGGTATTCGCTCCTGTATCCGCAGTAGGCATATTGATAAGTTGAAGTTATAACGTGAAAACTTCATCTACCAGATAATTGAATTGAAAATTGAAATCAACCGATCGAAATTTGTTTTTGAATGTTAATTTTGAATTAGAATAGAAATATTGATTTCTCATTATTTTGTATACATATTTATACGTGGCACATATTGTAATTTCTCTATACATCACATCATAAGGAAATTTCAGTCCTGATGTCTTCTTCGTTAAGCAAATTATAACCTGATGAATTAAATTCGTGCATTGATGTTTAATAGAAACTCTGAGATATTTTTATATTAACAACATTTTTCTTATGCCAGACTTATCTTATAAGAAATTTGGAATCGAGTCAAACCCATGTAATTCGCGTGTCTGTCAAATCCAGAAAAAAAAAAGTTTTTCAGCCATCAAGCTGTCTATCCAGACAAAACCAAAATAAATCTTCCTTGTCCGATCCGCTCCTTTGATGATTTTCCAATATTCGTTTTCATATATTTTTCTGTATTTACATTTATATTATTTTCCACTGTTATGCGAAGTGCATATTTTTCGGATTGTCGACTCCAGATACGCTAAGAATATTGTTCGAGAAATTCAATTTTGGTCAATATGGGGACGGCGCGGGACTCATCTAGTTTCAAGTAATGGAGAAAATATACGGATGCGATCTTGTCTAGAATATCAAGAACACTAAACAAGGATAATTTAGTTTCCTCAAAAGACCACGATGTTTTGTGTCGATAAAATTATAATAAATTTCTTGTACTCTACCTACGCAGTATAGGACAGGTAGGATTCAACCAAATATTGGAAAATGAATCGTCACTGCTATTATTTTTATATCATTACTATGCCATATTATTATAGGCAACGACTTGAAACTCGTAGCCTCTCAAAATCAACTGAAATAATTTTTATATATTGGGAAATCAAAAAAAGATGGAAACATTATTATACTATTATACTCATTATAAAAGTTAAACACACAAAAAAAGGTAGAAAACAGCAGGGTGAGAATTGTACGGTACGAATATAACAGAAGCATAAGGCAGTTAGTTTTAACAATATTTCACCGACACACTCATTTTCAGCTTGAATAGTGTCATAGAACTTGAACAAGGGTTTAGTCCGATATTTTGGAACGTTCACCAGCGACGTCGCACGTGAAGCTCCTTACTTCATCTCATAAATTAATAATCTACATCTTTCTTACATCGGCCAGTTCCTTGGTCGATTGGCTGGTTGGTTGTAGGGGGGATCTGGGCACTGTGGCCTTCCATGCACTGAAGCCTGTTGACTTATTGTGCACCCCAATTTCCTTCTTGCCTTACAAGAGTCCTGTTGCCTGTATCAATGAAGATGGTGAAAAGTTTCTCTCACTGATTAGTGAGAAGCTGACAATATCCATGTAAATTTTTCAATTATTACCCAGGAGTTCAAGTTCCGAGAACGACATCATCTTCAAGAGTTTTTGCATGGTTAGGCTTATTACCAGAAAAGACACGTAGAAAAGCGGATTTTGGGAGCAACTGCCGACGTAACCTACCATTACCAGAGCCCGTGAGCCAGTGTCCAGGTACAAGTGTCCCCCAGTCTAATCAAACATGCCGAGAAACAAAAAGACGTCCAAGGCTCATGATGAAAGTATTGCTGAATCTGAGTTGGATTCAAATAAGTTTAAAATATTTAGGAAAAAGTCGGCGATACATTCAAAATTTAACCAGCTTTGCAAAGTTTTTTAAGGAGGTTAAGCAGACACAGCCAAATAAGTGTGAGTTGGTTGAGATTGAAATGCGAAATAATGAATTAGAGTCTCGTTTATTGAAAGAACTTTCCAATTCACAATTGGAACTTGAAGATTTGGATCCAGATAATTTTGACGTTTCAGAAACTAAGAAGTTTGAAAGTTTTTATTATGTTACAGTTTCTGAAGCGAAGCAATTTCTCACAAGCATGAAGCAAGCAATTTCGGCATTATCTGATGCTCACAGTTCGGAGCAGCAAAGCTTGCTTCAAGCAATGAGACAACCAGGAGCCAAATTGCCTATCATTGAATTACCTAAGTTTACAGGTGTTTATGAGCGTTGGCTTGAATTTCGCGATTTATATAAATTTTTCTTTAAAGTTCATTTCACGAAACAAGATAGTGAAAGTAAACAAGTTTGACAGGTAAGTCAAATTTTATTGGCTAGAAAAGGAATATACACCGCCCTAGGCAGGACCGTCTTAGGTTGTTTTGTATTTCTCTCCTCTGAATATATTTCCGAACGAATTCTTCAGCGGAATCTGTTGAACTTGATATTGTTTTAATCTAAATTGCTCACTAATTAACAATAATTCACCAAACACTATTTAAATAATTGTAAAATAATAGGAAATACGACATTAATAGTTATTTGTTTAACTAGGCAGAAAAGTATAATATTTAATGCCGCGGCTGGTGTTTCAGGAAACCAGCCGAGGCATTAAATCTGCTTTTCTGCCATGTAAAACATATAATTTTTTCTCCGAATGTTCAAATTCACACATGGACATCTTTTTTATATTTATTTCATTCATTATTATTATCCAAATAATTAAATTATTTTGACAATTGTCATTGTCACCATCAATTTCAAATACCAAATTGTGTGAAATTATTACCTGGAACGTTGTGACACTGTCACTTTTGATGCCTAGGCATTAAAAGTCCACTTTTACTGCCTAGGCAGTAAAAATACAACTTTTGATCCTGTCAAGTGTCATTAAAAGGCCGCTTTTACTGTCATTCGGAGAAAAACTTATTGATTCATATGACAACCTGACAATAATAAATGTCATTAGCTGTAATTCATATTTTTGCAGTCCTTCTCTGAATTTTTAAGCTCCGCCTGTTTGTTTACCTCTACTATCTCGTTTCGTGGAATGAACTTTAGTGCATGAATGTCAATATATTGATGCGATTGACAAATTTCATTATTTGAGGTCGTCCCTTGAAGGATCTGCAGCTCGTTGCATTGTGAGTAAATTAGATTCTGTCGTGGTTGTGGAGTGGGCAAAACAAGAGTTTATAGATGAACTGCCTAGTCTGTCAGAATTTAAATCGTTTTTGTCAAATTTTGCCGATATTTTAGAAAAGAAAAAAACATGCACAAATTATCAAATAAGTCGACGACGTCAGTGACAAAAAACCTAAGATTTCATGCCCTTATTGTAAAAAGCCTCATTTTATTTATAAATGCAGTTCCTTTAAAGATCTTCCCCTCAATCAAAAAAAGACACAAATTTCAAAATCAAAGTTATGAAATAATTGTTATCAGGACATAATGTAGCAAACTGCAGATTCAGTCATTGTGAGTATTGTATAGTTTTTTTAATTTGAATTGAAACACTAAAAACACATCAAAGCTGTTTTCTCGCGTCCATTTTTTTGACATTGGTTCAAAACAGGTTTGAAACGGGCAATGGTGTTTCCATTTACTGTTTCAAACTGGCTTTGAACTAATGTCAAAAAAGCGGACACGAGAAAACGGCTTAGATGTTTTTTTAGTGTTTCAATTCGGATTAAAAATACTATAACGAAAAACATAATTCATTGTTACATGCTGCAGGTATCGAGAGAAAATCTAATCCAGTGGCACTTGAAGTTCCAAATGCACAGTCTTCTCAGGCTTCCGATCGATACATACTGTTCTAATCAATTATCAAAGGGCCAAGTTCTTGCAACTGCGCTAGTCAATGTGAGTGATAAGCATGGCAAGTTACATAGCCAGGGCGTTATTGGACAGTGCCTGGATGTCAATCTTTATTTCTCAAGACTTTGTGAGGAGGTTGAATTTATCTCAAGAGAAGGTCAACATTTCTGTTGTTGGAATTGGTCATTCTGAATAAAGTATTAACACATCCTGCAATTTTCGTTTCATTTCACGCCATTGGCAATTTTCGGCTAATTTCCATTGCTTAGTTATTCCTGAGATTACAGGTAACGTTCCAGGTGTATGTTTTGATCCAGCAAGGGCCGATACTTTTGCTCTCGATTAACGAATTTGATACGTTATCAAAGTTTTGCATAGGCCAAGGTCTATAAGTATGATGTGGTTAGAGCACATTCTAACCCCTGACTATTTTTAACGACTGTCAAATGAGAGCAAGTAGTACCGGCACCAAATGTAATAATTCTTTTTTATTAATTAATTTTAATTAGCGCGTCTATGTTTTGGGATCTTTTATTAAATAATTCGATTCGTTTAGGCACATCGAATTATTGGTTTATATAATTTGATAGATAAAGTTAGGTTGGGTGATTTCTGGTCCTTTAGGAACCCCGATTCAAAATATAACTTCTTGTCACTTCAATCGAAATTCTGAAATTCAAGATCAATTAAGAAAGTTTTGGGAGTTAGAGGAGATATCATGCAAACCTTTGGTATCAAAAGAAGAGCCATAGCTGAAGCCCATTTTGTTGAAACACATAGGCGGGATGCGAATGATAGATTTATTGTTTCAGTGCCGTTGAAGGAACCTGCTGGTGTTCTTGGAGATTCCAAACAAGTGGGAAAAAGTCAATTTTTCAATTTGGAACGTACGTTGAGGTCCAACGTCAGACTTAAACAAATGTATGATGACTTCATGCATGAATATCAAGATCTATCTCATATGTCTCCTCATAAGTTGAATGAAAATGAAGTATCTTATTTATCCCCCCATCATGGTGTCCTTAGAGAAGATAGCATAACAACAAAGTTGCGCGTGGTTTTTAGTTGTTCGGCTATTTCTTCTTTTGAGAAATCATACAACTCCATACAGATGGTCGGACCTAATGTACAAGATGATCTTTATTCTATTTTTACTAGATTTCGACAGCATTCTTATGTTATATCAGGAGATATATGCAAAATGTATCGTCAAATTTTGGTTGATGATCAATACAAG